TTTTTTTGGTACCGAGGCTCAAACTCGGGACCTTTCACTTTGGAGACAGGCGGCGGAACCACTGAGCTAAATCCCTGGCCTTGAGAGTGTGATACTTAACAGAGAAACATCTAAGTTTACTTCTTCTTCACAAGACCTAAGAACTTTTAGTAAGTTACAATGTCCTTCTCAAATTACTAATAGTGCCTTTCATTATTGTTCACTTAAACTCATTATATTTTTATTAGATTTACTTCTATCTTATTCATTGTAGTACTGATAAAATAACATCAACTTTCAAAGTTCAAAGCCTCAGGTCCTGTTAAAATGCATGTGAATGTGGAAAATGATATAATCATTTGAAACTTGCTTTCCCCAACTATAAAACAGAAATAATAATGTTGTAATAAAAATAATAATGATGTAAATTGTATTTACATCATAAGTTTGAGGGATGACTAAATTTGTAAAGTTCCTTATGACACTGCACGGCACCCAGTAACTGTTATTGTCACTGTTACTACTGCTACTGCTGTGTATCCAGCCAATCTCATTGGCTTCCAGCACAGAAAGACAAGCTTATACACCACTCTCCCTGACTTAAGGTTTGCCCTCCCTTGTTTTATATTCTACCCCTAGATTAATTTCTTAAAACACGGCTTTCACTTTCTCTTTTGCTCGAAAGCCTACTTGACATATAATATAAGATCCTAGTAGGTACTTTGTAAATATGTGCCAGGCTTATTAATAAATACTCTACAGCAGCTTCTGCCCCCCTTAACCCCTGGGCCTGTAATTTGTGCCAGAGTCTGGCCAGGCATCCACAAAGCTGGTTTCCTTATTCACCCAGCCACAGAGCTAGACTACATTTCCCAGCTTTCCTTTGCAGTAGGGTAGGGTGTGTCTGGTGAAAAGTGAGCAGAAATGATCTGCACCACTTCCAGGTCTGGTCAATGGAAACCTGCCTTACCTAGTTAAACATCCCTTTCCTTACCTGCTGTGACTTAGAAGTCACATGCCAAACATGGCACTGCCATGAGTTAAAAAGCTGGACCCCTAAATAATTGCTTCAAGGATTCACACCTATTTTAGACTTCATACAAACAAGAAAACAACTTCAGCTGTTTTGAAGTTTGAAGGAACTAATGTTGCCTTAACATCCTGGCTCCTATCTGACAAGTCAATCTGATTTTCTCCTGTACCCACACCCAAAGGGGCATTATTTTAGTTAGGTAAATTTCTCCACATATAATCCCACTTCTATGCCCTTTCTTCTTTCTTTTAAGGGCAGCTGAAAGCCATCTTTTACTTTGCTTATCTAAATTCCAATCAAGGCTAAGCTAGGATGCCCCATTAGAACATTGTCAGCCCTCAGAATCCTTTCTTATGGCAGGGGTGGGAGGGAGATCACAAATTTAAATACCAATAGGAGCCTAGTAATTAATAGAAATGAAATACAGCAGCCCAACAGGAAATGTGTATCTAAATGAAATAACTTCTCACTTTCAATCACTGCTAAGTTGGAATAAGAACTTCAGTTGCCAGATCTTCTAAGGAAAATAAAAAGTCTAGATTTTATCTCTGTAAATTCTCCCAATTTTTTTTTTTTTTTTTTTGGTCCTCGGAATTGAGCCCAGAGCCCTCATGCATGTTAAGCAAGTGCTCTACCATCAAGCTACACACCTAGCCCAATTTTCCCAATTTTTAAATCTTGGCAATTCATCTAATTTTTAAAATCTAATGTGGGACAAATATTAAAAATTGTACAGGCTGGATATAGCTAATGGAATGTTTGGTGAAACTTTGCCTTTAATTAGGACCACACAGTTCAGGAACAAACCTGTTTTCTATTTTAGTAGAGACCTCCGTGTATGTGTGCTTATATATTTCTGCAGGAGATGATAACTCTGTTTCTTTATAAAACATTTAAATTGTTCACTATAACCATAAAATGATGGTAACGGTTAAGTTTTTTGTTTTTGTTGTTTTGGGGGTTTTTTTGGTACCAGGGATCAAGCTCCGGACTTTGTGCTTTCGAGGCAGGCAGCGGAACCACCAGCCTGGTGATGGTTAAGTTTAAATGTTAACTGAGGGCCGGGGATTTAGCTCAGTGGTTTTGCTGTCTGCTGTGCAAGTGCAAGGACCAGAGTAAGATCACCAGTACCCAAAAAATAAATAAATAAATGTCAACTGGGCTAGTTTAGGATGCTCAATTGTTTGGTCAAACTCTACTTTAGATGCTGCTATGAAGATATGTGATTAACATTTAAAATCAGTAAACTCTGAGTAAAGTAGATTATTCTCCATAGTGTGGGTAGACCTTACCCAATAAGTTGAGGGCCTTAAAAGTAAATGTGGAGGTTTCTCACTAGAGAAATTATCCTTAACACTGCAACATAGAAACTCTGCCTGAATTTCCAGCCTGCTGCACTTTAGAATTCACACTCACAACTATATCATTAACTCTAACTAAGTCTACAAATTCCCAGCCATCTGTACAGACTTCAGACTTTTCTCAATCTTTCTCTCTATATGTATCTTACTAGTTTTGTTTCTCTGGAGAACCTTAAGATAGGTTATTTATATTAATCCATTGAACACTGGCTGTTCAAATATCTCTAGGGGAAAAAAGTAAAAAAATAAAAGGAGAAAATCTTACAAGGTCAATATCCAGAAATATAGGAAACAATAGTTTAAGAATAAATACACTGCTGGGAAGACTACTATACTATTCTGTAGTGTCACACTGTTCCTTTGGGCCCGCAAATGAGGTCAAATGTATCAAAGACATATCAGAAGAGATTTCTTCACCTTTTTCTATGTAATTGAAACTATTATCTCTGGATATAGACATGGAAAAAATAAACATATACTTAAAGTCATGTGCCACATGATGGCATTTCAATCAATGACTGACCAACTATAAAATGGTGGTCCCATAAAGATTATAATGGACTTAAAAAATTTCTATCACCTAGTGCAGGAATCCTCAATCCCCTGGCCATGAGCCTGTACTGGTCCACAGCCTGTTAGCAACCTGACGACATAGCAGAGCAGCAGGCCAGCAAACAAAGCTTCATCTGACAGCCCCTCCCCATCATCTGCAGTACCACCCTGAGCTCTGCCTCCTCACAGATCGGCAGGGGCATTAGTTTCATAGGAATGCAAACCCTACTGTGAACTGTGCATATGAGAGATCTAGGTTGTATGCTCCCTTTGAATCATCCCCAAACCATCCCACAACTGCCCCTGGGTCCTTGTAAAAACTGTCCTTCACAAAACTGACCATTGGTGCCAAAAGGATGAAGGAGTGCTGGCCTAGTGACACCACAGCCATCATAATGTCTTAGCACAACACGTTACTCACATGTCTACAGTAATGCTGGTGTTAACCTACCATCCAGCCTTTCATATAAAAGTATAGCATATACAATTATGTATAGTATACAATACTTGATAATAAACAACTATTACTGGTTTATGTACTTATTATATATGCTTTTATCATTATTTTAGAGTGCATTCTTTTACTGCAAAATAGTAAGCTGTGTTACACTGCAGCAGCCTCATACATCTCATGTTTACTGAGACTAGACTGAATCAAGAAGCCATATAAAATGATTGATAATACCACCCAGACTTGTATAAGCACGACCTGATGTTTGACAAGACTACCAGGGTATATCTTCAATTTTAAGTAACACACAACTGTGTATAATTTCAATGATTTTTACCCTGATTTATAGTCCCACCTTCTAAGATAATGGATACATCCTTTATAGGATATAACAAGATCCCTCATAAACTAATAGCTTTCCAAAAGTAATGCAAAAGAGACAAGATAATGCCATGTCTGACTTGTTCATCATATCCACATGAAAAGAGCTCTTGAAACAATCAATCATGAAAGAGGACCCTCTTGCTAACATTTATAACAAAAGCACGACATCCACAGTTGATAGG